TCTTCTTGATAGATAAAATCATAGAGATAAACGGGGATGTGTGTCCTGGTTTCAAAAAGTGTATCTTTCTTTTTCTCCATTATGCACTCTTAGGAGTAGTTTCATGCTGTTGTTTTCTTTTCTTTATATCAGACATGTCTGGACCTTTGTTATGGTTACAAAATAGTCTGTACACAACAGCCGAGGACCGAAAAGCAGACGGTAAGTGCAACTGTCCCAAAAAAAAGTATCCAAACAGTTATTTCTTTATTCTATTTCAAGTGGGTTTGACTTTCAGTGAAGTTACAGTATGTGTGAGAAACGTATATGTAACTCGTGCTGTTTGGTCTGTTGATGTAATCGTTCTGAAGGTTTGGCCCTGGCTGTGCCACTTGTTCCTCTGTCGGAGGCGAATGAAGACGCCATGGACAACAAGAGCTTCCTGAGGCTGTTGCGCAAACTGGGAATGCGGCCACCTGCAAATGAACAGGTGTGATATTTCACCATTTCAGCTCCTTCTAATGATATGCCTTGTTCTTTCATTTAAGACTGTGTTGGAGTTTCTCTGTTTGATTGCAAAATCATCTGGAAAAAATGGATTAAAAAAAATACACCTGGTGGCAAAATACTATACAGCTGATACTTTACGTTTACATTCATTTTAGTTGTTTTTTACTTTTCTGTAACCAGGAGACTTTTTGGAGGATCCCAGAAAACATCAGTGTAGCCCAGCTCCGGAGTGCAGCTGCAGCTCTTAGTACAAGAGAAGAAGAACATAAAGGAGGCGGGGAGCACGACGGCTCCAGAAGTCCAACCGGAGAATCCCAGGAGGAGGAAGAGGAAGAGGAGGAGGTCTCAGGTGAACAGCGAGCTCAGGCTCTGAGAGCTCTGCTGCTCACACGCAAGAGGAAACACCACACCTTGGAGCATACAGGTATGCATGGGAGCTTCAGATTCTGCAATTTGTCTCAGATGACAGCAGTAAATTACAGCTCTGTCGCGTAGGTGAGTGTTAAATAACATGCCTACTAGAAGAGCCTGCTCTGGCTAAACTAGCAACCAAAAATGTGGTGTTACATAATCTTAAATGTAAAAATCACTGTCTGTGCTTCAATTTCCCAAGAATATAACAGAAATCCAGTCAAGTGCTGTTTTAGCCTTGAACTGGAGAAGCAGCGATGTAATTGTGACTGTAAAAAAAACCTTGTTTTGCATCTCAAAATGTCAGACGTACGAAACATAAAACATCAAGGTGAAAAAAGGACAGTGAGAATTACACTTAATAATGAAGTTCCTTTGGTATAGAAGTTTGAAAGATGTTTCCCACTGCCTTTATCAGCGAGAAGTGAAGCCATTGCATGAGATCAGCCGAGGATTGAGATGACTTTGTTCATTTATTCGACTTTTCTGTTGTTTTTAGCTCCTGTGTCCGATTTCAGTCCTACTGAGGATGCAGATGATACACTTGAGAGGTGAGGCATCGCTCTCTGTTTTTTGTTAATCAGTTAAGCCCCACAGCTGAGAAATGTCTAATTATAAACACTTCTTAATCTATTCCTGTTCACATCAGGTCCCGGGAGAAGACCTCAACTAAAAGAAGCAGGGTGTTGGACGACGATGATGAGGAGGAGAATGGTATAACTTACGTGTGGATATCAAATTAGTGTTTTAATGTGTTCGTTTAGAGGGCACTAAGTGGGCTCTCACAATACTTGTGAAACTAAAGGTTAATAGTATGTCGTCACTCCTTGTTTCATGCTCAGCTTAACATCTGTGCTACGGCAGTCCGGGGCCAGTAATGATCCTCCGATAATATTGGTGTTTAATCATGACTGAGCTGCAGCATTTTTGGCTCACGCATTACTGTCTTTACAGGGGAGGACTCCGCCATGGCGGTGGATGTGGAAACGAACGGTGACTCGGATTCAGACGGGGAGGATATCTCTGCGCCTGTGAAGCGTAGACGGAAGCTGGTCTTAATTGATGAGGAGGACGATGAGGATTAGTGACTTTCTGTAATGGACTGTAAAAACTGCAGACGGGGGAGTCCTAAAAGGCCCGTACTTTGCTCAAAGGTGGATACAGCCCTCTGGAGGTCTGTAGTCCAGAGAGGAGAAACTATTAATGGAGTACCAGCCCAAAAAAAACAGGTCCTTAGACCGGCCCCTTGTGAATGCATGGATCCTATTAAGCAGTTTCATGTTATAATCTATTTGGTAAGCTTGATTGGTGCCTTTTTGTAGTTACGGTATATAAGTTCTGACTTCTTTTTTTTTCGTCATTCCTTTTCTCTTTGCATCCTCAGCGTGTACATCATACAGGTTTTATCTGTCTGTGAAAGGTTTGCATCACAGGATTTCATCTATAACTTTGAGCTGCAGGTTAATTGTTGCATTATTTTAGTAACATTACCTTTTGGATTTCAGAGTAAAAGAATTCATGCCTACTTATTAATAAAAAAAGCACTGATGTCAAAATATTGGCTCACTAGCAGCTTTTGTTGTCATTTTGGTGCACTGCATGATTTTTAACAGTAGAGGGCGCTTAAATGTAAACTATTGCGTTTGTGAATTCCTTAAAGTATTATTTGAATATCTGTTTGTAGAATATCTCATTTAAACTCTTTAATATATTGTAAATCCCTTTTTAAATTTAGTTTTTGAGCAAATCTTTTTAGTATTTTATCTCTGTAGTGCGTGAGAACAGCCTCTGATTATAATCTCAATCTGTCCTTATGTGTTTTATACTTCTGCAGAGATGACATGAACAGATGTATTTGGAGTGAGCTTTCTTCAAAGAGGATCCTGTATATGTGTGCAGTTGCTGCCTGTAGTCCACGTTTTGCAGCTGTGTCGGAGGTGGTCTCCTGTCCCCACATCTGGACCATGTTAGTAACTTCCTGTCGCAGCATCTGTTCTGCCCCCATCCCACGGAGCCACAATGCAGCCCTGGCAATCCACACAGATACTGCCGTGAGGGAAGCATGTGAGCTCAATGGTGGGTGGGTGTAGTTCATGAAACTTCAGAGGTTAGAGGTGTATCTCTTCCTCTGCACAGTCCCAATATGTCCCCGTGCGTTAACCTAAACCAGGCTTGGACAGTCTGTATATTGAGTTTACAAGGGGATGACTCATTGTTTTGTAACCAGTACATAAAAGCCTGGAGGCTGTTTTGCATAAATGTTGGCAACAGATTATACAGTCATTTCATTTAATCATGCAAACTTTCAGCAAATAGAAACCATACTTTTAGTAAAAATGAAGCCCTAGCTTTTCATTTAGAAGCTGCAAAGAGTCACGGAATTCACCCTCAAGTGTTGGAGTTGATACGCTTTCCTCAGAAATGACAGGTTTAGGATTTAACACTTATGATATATATAGGTAGAAAATAGGCATATTAAAAGGTATTTCAAGCATACCCTCAAAAACTCAGCCACAGTCAGTATTAATGTTGCTGCTTATCCACAAATGGATCATTAATTGTTAAGTCCTGTAACGGTTGCAGAAGCTCTATGTAGGGAGTCTCCTGCTTGGCTTACCTTGGGCCACAGTCTGATTTAGGGAAATGTACACGTGAGGGATGGAGGAAAAACAACCTCATTTGTTCGTCGCGTTTTTTCCACAACTCGCTCAGATTGAACAGAGATTCATGTCTCCACACAACACCACACACGCAGCCTTTGGCCATCTGTTTTCATGCGTCAGGTAGTTCATAGAGGGACATGTCTTTGTGGAACCGACACACCATGTCAAAGTAATAATCTCTAATCTTAACGATCTGCTAATCAAGTCGAACCTGACTGATCAGATCATAGAATTATCTCCATTTGTAAATGTAGACTATGAACGCCCTGCAAATGGTAAACGAGGAACACCTGTGGGTATAGCTGTTCAACTGTTAGTGTGGTGGCCATGCAGTCTATGGTCATGGCTATAAAAATACAACTCCCTGGCTCACACACGTGCAAGTACCTCCTCCGGTTGACCCTGTGGTGCAAGTGAAGTGCTCCTACAGTCTCAGCCTCACAGCTGTAGCTCATTCCTTCTGAATGTACCAACACAATCCATTCCACAGGGTCTTATGTCAACAGTTGTTACTCTAAACACAGCAAATACCCAACCATCCTCAGTGTGTAACTATATGAATACAAAAGATGAAAATAATGAGTTGGCCTCTAATACATACTTGTCTATATAGTTCATGTATTTACCACTTTCTAAAAAAGACATCATTTAAAAAGGATTTAAAATTTGTATTTTACTAATAAATGATGGATCAGATATAAGCCATCTATGAGGATAACTTTGGAGTTGTCAGGCAGTAAAAAGTGATCTTAATAGTCATTAAAACATGAGTGTCATCAAGTCGGCAGTTATAAATGTTAATATGGGACGATTACTGATAAGGGACAAAGGTTTCTCACTTTCTGATAGCCAACAGCAAACATTAGGAAGTCACAAACAAAAGTTAATGAGTTTTAATTGTCTGTTTTTGTTTTTAGTATGTGTATACCCAAGATTCCATGGAAAGCTGTATTGATGCTGAGTGGATGAACCTGGTGAAATTAAGTAAATTTAGTGGAATCACTCTGTAAACAAACACAACCTGGCAACCCAAAATGTTTTCATGTTGGTTTTTGCCCTATAACACATTAATAGTTATTGTTAAAGCCATTAATTACAATTACGAACCCTTTACAAATAGTGCTTTATTAAAAAGTGACACTGTTACAGCTAGCACTTTTAGCTAATCCTTAATTAAAGACAAACAGCTGTAGTTTAGCCAGTGTGGGCAAAGATTACTTTGTTGTCATATGGGGAGTGTGGGGGGGATAAAACACAAGGTTAACCGTTTGGTGTAGATGTACTTGTGTGACTCCTATCAGTTCATTATTATGTATTCTGATAAACCCCCGTTAATTGAGTGAGTTAATCACAGGAGCTCAGGTAAAGCTGGCTCATCAAAGCTCGGGCCTCGTCTGTGGCCCCCCCTCACCCGTCACCCCTCCCCGCCCCCCGGGCTCTTCCAACGGCCCAACTGACGACGCAGGATGGAGATAGAAAGGGGGATTGCCTTGGAGCGAACAAGTTTTTCTCCTTTTGTTTTTTTTTAAGTGCCGTTTAGTTCAGCGGGGAGAGGGGAGGCGTGTGAGGGAGGATCAGTAACATTTTCCAGAGAAGACGGGTCGAACTTGTAGTAGTTTGATTGTTGAGTCACAGACGGGAACTCCAACGGTTAATTTGGACACAAAGTTGTGTGACTGACTGAGGCACCGCGGAGAATGTAAACTAACCAAACCGTCCTCAGATCAGATCTACTGCGGTCACAGCTAGGTTGGCGTTTTTTGAAACATTTCCATGAGGCAGGGATAGGAACAAAAAAACGATGCCGTTGTTCTCGGTTTAGTGCAGCCCGTGAGTTTAAAAAGAGCCTGCGGAGAAGTTGAGAGAAAACCGGTTTTCCCTGGTACCCTGCCGCCGCTTTTGTGTTGGTGAATGGTGCGGTGTTTTTCCTGTTTTACAGGGCCAACTGTGGAACACACAAGACTCATCGGTAAGTTTTTTTTAAATCACTTTAATTAAAAAAAAATATGATTATTTTGTGTTGCAGATGTCTAATTACTCAATTAGACGACTCTTCGTTTTTAAACCCCGGTGATTGGCTGTCTGTTTCTTTAGCTCTCTGCTAGTGGGACGTTTGAATTCAGTTAACTCCGGTGTAATCTTGGAAACAATAGCCGCTCACTGTACTCCATTACCGATGATGAACGATAATAGCTGAGTGATGGCCCCCCAGATCCTGACTGATCAGCTGATTATGTTTGTAATAACATGTAGCGAAGCTGGCTGCTAACCCTTTTTAAAACATTTCTACACTTGAGGCTCATAATGCTATTTATCCTTCATCCAGACATAATGATCCAGCATAATAAAGGCTTTATCGGTGTGCACTGAACCTTACATTTAGACCAAAATCCTCAACTAAATTAAAACCCAGAGTTGTCAGTCAGTACTGATTAAAGCACAGTACTGACTGACAACTCTGGGTTTTAACTTAGTTCTGTGGTAGTTGTGCTGGTGGAAGATGGGAAGTGGCTTGCAGCTCTAAACAAAAATGAATAATCAATACATCATTTATTTACATCTAGTTATACGTTATGTATAACAACAGATTGTTTGACAAGTCTGAACACTTGGAGGAATATAACTTGTATTTCTTTACAACGCCCATAGTGCCTTTATGTATATGTATATAGCTATATAGGGACATCCTTCCTCTTGGGAGGCGAACATGTCATGTGCCTTCTGGCCCACATAGCGTGCAATAAGCCCTGTGGTTCTGCTGTGTGATCCAGGGTGGGAGTGCCCGTGGGGTTTTTGGGCTGTGTGATGATAGCCTACAGGTCCTGTCTTTACTGGGGAGTGCAGTCTGTAGTTGCACCCCCCACACCGACCATCATCTACTCGACCTACTCTGTCAGCCTGCACCAGATGGTTTTGTCCCTTTGAAAAAAGGCAGAGAGGAAACCCTTCCCTGCTTTGAGGAAAGAGAGAAGGCAGGAAAGGAGGCATGAAGAGCAGGGTTAGACTGCACATGTTCTGCATGGTGCCTTTTAATTAGCACGGACACAGTGGTGTCATTTTTTGTCTAGTATTTGGTATAAAAATCTGTTGACGGCATGCTCATGTCTCTTATCCTCAGCGATTAAAAACACATCAACGGTATTGAAACGTTGCTTTTCAGGAGAGCGTTGTTGGGGAGAGAGTGTGCACAGTGAGAACAGCTGACCCGCACAGCAAAGCAGGAATTCCCTTTTTATGGGAACAAACTTTAATTTGAAGTTTGGATAATGTGTTTGGATATGCTTTCTTCTTTAAACACAAGCAGTCTTTCCCCCCCCTTAAGACAACAGGGCCATAGGAGAAGGCTTATTCTTCTTATTAAGGAATTGGCTTGCTGGCCCTCGCTGTATCTTCCGTTCCAAACTGTAGAAAGCTGCATTGGTAAACTCTATGTTTTGTAATATAAAGTAAACAATTCATCCTTTTTAGTGTACATTATGAAGTATACGTCTTTGGCTGTCTGAGAGCCCATATTAGAAATTTGGGGAACTTCTAGTTTTACTTTTAGCTGTTTTGCCAGCTGAAAAAGATGAACTTTTTGCTTTCTATGTTTCCCAGTACTTTAAAACACAAGTATTACTCAACAACAGGTCAATAATTATTATTTAGGTGAGTCTACCTCACAACTCTTCAGAATTGTTGGGTTAGCACTCCAGCTCTGTCAGGCCACATGTTCAAGCCTCCTGCCTCCGTCTTTATGCTGCACATGGGAATATATGAGGAATGACTCCAAGCTTGTCATGGTAAATAAGAGCTCATTAAGGAAGAGCTGTGCTGTATAATACAAAGACTCATTGCTGTGCTTTCCCTTCTTGGAAAGTGCATCAATTATTTTTTTTATGTCCTTGTTGTTATTAATGTGGTAAAAGGTAGCTAATTCAATATATTTTTAAATGACCCAACCAAAGGTGTAATTGCTAATATCAGCAAATGCAATCAATGCTGTTTCTCTGTGTTAATAAACTAAAGAGGCCTAACTGAACATGGCTGAGCAGCAGTTTGTTGTTAGACTTATGGACGAGGGATTCCTGGGTGCAAGAAAAGACCCATTGTCACATGGAAACCACATACAAGCTGATACCAGTTATTTTGAAACATCCACCCATGTGCTACTTATAGCACTTAAACATTGGTTATAGTTAAGACATGAGCGGGTCATTGAATTGGCTTGGAAAAGGAAGGACGCACATGATATTTTAGGCTCGCGAGATCGCTGTAGGAGGTACAATTATTGTCGAGTGGAATTTGACAAAGAGGGTTAAATGGCTGCTCTAAATGATAGAGCTGCAGACATATATAGGCACTGCATGGAGGTATGGACCGCTGACTCCCCTTTCTGCCCCTAGCAAACCTATCTACACTGTATCATAACTCAATAAGTGGCCTATTTGATTTACTTTGGCAGTCTGCTTCAGCAGATTTGTTTCTTGCAAACAAACTCCCTTTGAAAAGAGATAAAAACACATGTGTGATAAGAGCCAAACAAAGTTTCAATAGACGCCATAATAACATCATTATAAGCTCGACTTCATACAGAACACAACTTGAACTGGTAAAGCGTTGGTGTCTTGCTCAGGGACACCGGTGCTCTACACTAACCTAGTGTTCATCAGAAGCATATATTATCTCATACACAGTGCCACACTCTCATGCTTTCACTAACATATGGACATCAGACTCCGCCGCACCGCCTACTAAATGCTGCTCTCTACCACAAACCCTAATAGAGTGTTGTGGAACTGCCCCTCCTTGCTGCACACACTGTACGCTCCTTCCTCTGCTGCTGGATCACAACTTACTGCAGCAGAGAGTGTTTACTTGGTGTATGGATATTAGTCCTATGTTAATGACCATGTGTATTTCTGATGTACAGTATACGTTCATGCAACCATCGACATGTGACTCTTCAAAAGGCTACTTATTGTGTTTCTGATCTCTATAAGTAGCTCTCTGCATTTTTATGTTGAAAGGCCTCTATTGTTTAGACGAAAGTCAGGCATGAGGCTGAGAGATTATGAGGGAAAAATAAGTTAGATACTAATGAAATACTGCCACAAGTGACCGTTATTGTGGTCCATGGCCAGAAGCCAAACTATTTGGCAGTGAGAATTATGAACATGATCTTTATTTGGAAATAGGAGACTTCAGTTTTAAAGTCGTACAACTGCCAGTGGGGATTGTGACTGACATGTTGTCACTTGGGCTGCTCCCAACTGTGTCTCTATGAAGCTATAAAGTGCATTCAAATATTGCAAAATGGTGTGAATTTCCAAGACTCTGGGCGGTGATCAAGATGTTGGAATTCTAAAATAGAGTTGGTTGGTTGAACTGAGTCAGCTTTGGGAGGCAAGTCATTTTGCATCAAATTCACAATTTTGGAAACTGTAGTCACAAATATGTGGATTGTGAGGAGTAAAGTAGAAACATATTTTGTTGGCTCAAGTTGAGGTACCAAATATCCATCGCAATACTCTAGTGTTATAGCTTGTATTTATTTATTTGTGTGTGTGTTTGAGTTATGAAGTTTATAGCTGTAATGAAGTGTGATTGGGGAAGGAATCTGAACAGGAATGTGACAGTAGAGGCTTGTGGCACTGGCAGGTGTTGATATGTCGATATAAAGTCTGCATAGATGTATTAATTTTTGCACATTCGTGATCAGTCCATCATTTTGGTTTGGATATGGCTGCATGGAGCTCAAACTGAGCGTATATCAACATGAAATTACAAAACCTCTGAGCATGAGACGTCTGGAAAAGAATTGAAACTAACTATCATGTGGTGCTTTGTTCATTATACAAGTCGTTACAGCACACCAAGCACAAACTCTGTGCTGAAATAGTTTCAATCACGTAAGCAGAGATACAATGGCAAGTGTTATGTGTAGATTAGCCTGTGAGCCAGACAGATTACACGCTTGTTTTCATCATATTGCAAGGTTTCTGTTTCCTAAGACGACCAAATTGCTCCAGTTGTTTGTATTGACAATGCTACCTTTCATAGCAGTCCAGATCCCTAGGTAGCTGCGTTGTGTTTCCCAGATTCCCATTTGAAATCAGGCAGTGATGTTGTTGAGGTGAAGTGATGTTTCAGTGTTGGTGATCCAACGTCTTGTTCCTATCTGCACTGTGTCACAGACACAAGGGTCAGTTCCTGCTGAAAGCTGATGTTCCACTTCCTCATCTGGTCCTGAGCTTCCTGCTGTGGAGAGACAGGAAGCTCAATAGTGGCCGACATGATGCCTTGCTCAATATGACTCTGAGTGAAAGCAGATGTTATTGGGATGACGAGCATACATTTATCCACGTTATCCAGTTTTATGCTTAGCACAATATGGCATGAGCCCCACCGGGACAGTTAGCTTTATTCCCATGGTTCCTGTTGTCTAGACCCGATCAGTCTTTCAGCTGGTTGGGGTGTTCAGCTGAAGGTGCCATAATTTATGGCTGCAACTGCAGAGCGCAGACAAGGTTGCATCTCACACCCTTGGTGGAGTCTTCCAAGTGAAATTGTCAGACAGCCAGGTCATAAAACTACAGGTTTTTTAGCTTCTCAGCTGTGGTCGTCAAATTGGAGGAGCACTTGCAGAATCCTAGGGTGTGATCACACACACACACCCCTTGATTAAACACACCCAAATTAGCTATGTGGGGAACTTGTAGCCGGCTCTGCCTGTTCCTCAGCAGCTGAGCACTCAAATCTGTGCTGCTCAGCCCCCTGCAGTGTTTGTTCAGGGAGTGTATACTCTTGGGCTGATTTTTTTTTTTTCCAAGAGCAACATAATATTCCAATAGCTCATCCGAAGCTGATGCGTACTGTGTGTCAATGCACTGTTCCCACCGCTATACTGTAAGTGATACTTCTGGAGGCCATTATGTGTGCTTTTTTTCTAGTCTTGCCATTGGAGTCCAAGTAAATGCAGAGTTGACACTTTTCAAACCTCTACTGGTCAAGCTAATCCATGCTGGAAATCAAATACTCGCCAAACTTTTTAGCCCCGATCGACCGGTGAGCCGATCCATCACCTATTCAATTTATTTCCACATTTGTTGTGTCCCGACATTAATGAACCCAAGAGGATAAATCCGTCTGACTTTGGTAATTCTCTGACTTTTAGTGCCATCATGAAGTTTTTATGATTGTCATGAAATTTACTACTGGTATTAAAGGTCCCTCAAGGATAACTTTGTTGATCCTTTTCATCTAACACTATCACTTGATCTAACTTTGAATATTGTCCAATCCTTTGCTTTATGACCAACAACCTTAAAAAAACGAATGATATTCCCACCCGCCTGAGCTGTACTTTGTGTTTAGCTCGAATTAGGAAATTTCCGCATTCCAAGAGGTTAAACTTAGATGGTGAACCTGGTAAATATTGCTTCAGCATGTTAGCATTATCACTGTGAGCATGTTAGCATGCTGATGCTAGCATGGCTAAGTTAGTAGTAGCCTCACAGAGCTGCTAGCATGGCTGTAGACTCTTAGTCTTGTTGACTTTGTATTGTATTTGTTGCCAGGCAACTTTAGCTTGTAGAAAATTCAGCTAGGAGGAAGCATTGGGAGGTTTAGGGGGCTCCAGTGAGCTCAGTCACTAAGACAGATAGCTCTGTTTCTAGTTAGGTACCCCTCCCTTCATCACTCACCAGCCCTCTGAAAGGCAAATACTTGGCACCCATCTTACAGCAAACACACAGGATCTACCAGTCTCCTTGGTGCTCTCAACCATCTTCATGCCGTCTGCATGGTTTCCTCTGAGTGCCACTAGAGGTCACAGCATGGGCCTCAGAGTCTTTGTTTTGCCCCATAATGGCTCTATTCTCCCACAGCAGCAAGAACTTCCAAGCCTGCTAGACATAGGACACCATTGTGCATCATGGAGGGGTAATATGAGCAAAGGCGTGCAGAGACATGGATGTGCGTGTTAAGTAAATTACTGTTAAAATGGTGTTGAAATATTAAATAGTTCACACATAGTGCACTGATGACTTATTATCATGATTTAACTCAATGTAATAAGCCGACCACCAAAAATAAACTCTAAAAAATTAGAGTCCGGGCTGGCTCAGAGGAAGTTGTGGGAAAATCTTGTGAGTGTCCACTAAGACCCTGATGAAGGCCACAAGCCAAAACGTGTTGGTCTTACAATAAAGTTGTTCTATATAAACTACAATTGTTGCTTGTCTTCAAACTTTGACTTCAGACTGTGCTATAACCCACCGCTCTGCTTCTATAGTGTTCCATTTCAGCAATTACTGTAAAAGAAGGAAACTACTGTCTAATGTGATGTGTTACTATTTTATCCACCTCAAAAATGTTGGTACAAAGCTGTATTCAAATTTGACATGCTGCATGTTGATTACAAGAGACATTAAATTACTCTTTTTGTGATAAATAATCATTCTTGAAGATAAAACTACAGAATAATTATATTAGCTTGAAATTTACCTTTTTTCACTTAAGTGGTGTAGATTAAGTTACTTAACCAATCTATCACAAAACATACACTACACATTTGGATTTTACCTGAGTGTCTTAAAACCCTTATAGATAAGGTAGGAATATGAGAACTTCACATAGAAATCCCCACAGACAGCTGTCATATTCAAACCCTTCTTCCTTCAAGATGACAGACAGTGATAGCCAATGAGCTGTCGTGCTGTCCAGCATGTGTGTAGTTTTATATGATCCTACAAAAGAGTTTGGTTCTTTCTTTTAATTTGGCTTGGGTTGATGTGAAGATTATAGTCTTTATTGTATACAGAGATATTTCCAGCAGTGCTTGTTTTGTTTTCAAAAGTTAGAGACGAGGATAGTTACCGAAAAAATGAGTGACTAAAGAAGAAAAGACTATGTCAAGTAATTCATAGGCAGGACATACAAATTACCCTGTGTCTGAGAAAAAGGCAAAACAAATTAGGCATATTTCAGTGTAAAAGATGAATTAGATTTAAGATGGGGGAAGTTCCAGTTAAAGCAGCGGAAGTGGATAGACAGGGCTGAAAGCGAAAGATCTGGCAAATAGTAAGGAATAAAGGCAGGAGTCCTGTTCCTGACTGTTTGTCTCAAGTAGAAAACGTGAGTGAGCTGTAATCGGATCTCAGCTGTGATGAGATCATACAGGAGGCCTGCCAGCAGCCTCAGAAAGAGCAGTCCACCCATAAGCCTTTAGCCCCACTGCAGCCCTCTGTGGCTCTACAGGCCTGCCAGCTGAAATATCATATATCAATTTTCAAGAGTACTAGTTGTTCCTTGAAATTTCAGAGGTGAAATGAGAAAGAACTACTCAAACATGTTTTAAAGCACTGGTCTGCACACAATTTGATAGGAAAACGTGGGCTTCATGCCATTAATGTATAAGCTTTTAGGATAAAATCATTCAATTCAGCATGAAACCAAAGTTGCCAAATTCCTTACAAAACACATTGCTCGACGGCTCTTTCTGTTTAATTCTAAAAAGAACAGTTAAAGTTAGATTTTTTTAAATTGTGTTAAAATCTGATAAAGTAAATCCAATTACTCTTCTCAGATGACCCACCACTTAAAACTGTCAGAGTTCATGACCCTAATGCTTGAGGGGGAACAGAGATAAGGACCGGGGGTCCGGCGCATGGATTATAGTGAGTGAATGAGTTGCTTGTGTGATTGCTCGTAGAGGATTGTAGAGTTGCATAGCTTTGTGTGTTGAGTCTATGACAGCTGCACATACAGTGAAGCTACGAAGAAGTCACAGTTGACCTGAAGATTTCACACTTCACATTTACGCCTGGAGTACTTTAGTTTTTCTGTGTTGATCACGCACTCTCTTTATTCTGTCCTAATCCATCAACATTTCCTCTCCTCTTACAGCCACCAGACCTGCTCAGATGGGGTTGAGATAACGCCACCAGAAGTTCCACCCTTGTGCCGAACTCGAGCCTCCCGCATTCACCCAGAATGGCAGATCCCACCGGGCTGAGCTCCGAAGGGGCCGGGTCAGGCACAGCCGAGGTCGACGCCTGCAGTTTGGAGATAGAGAGGAAGTATGATGTCATCCCCGCCGTCATCTGCTCCATGTGTTGCCTGTTTGGCATCATCTACTGCTTCTTTGGTGAGGATCCCTGCCGGCTCACAGACCTTGAAATCAATGAAAGCTAAAACTGAATGTTTTTTTAATTACTTAACTAGAGTTGCTCAGATATTGATACCAGTATTGGAAATGCCTCAGATATAGCGTAAAATACTGGATTGGGTATCGGCGAGTATGTGATATTTGGTTGTTATATCACTTGCATATTGCGCATGTGCAACTCTCAACAATCATTGTAATCACTTGTAATTTGCTCCATAGTGCAGCCTTTAAATATATCAAATCAAGTTGGCTAAACCTGCACTTTTACTTGATTTGACACAAAAACACTCTGGTTGTAGCTGTTGACAAAGTTACTTTGCGGAGCTTATACCTTGTGTACATTATATTCATATAAAAAGGATAACTGTGTTCCTCACTGTAGATCTCTCCTGTTTCTCCCCTTCTAGGTTACCGCTGTTTCAAGGCTGTCATGTTCCTGTCCGGTCTGATGTTTGGCTCCGTCATCATTTTCTTGCTGTGTCACAAGGAGCATGTGCTGGACACCCAGCTGAGCGTGGAGGCCAGTGCGGGTATCGGCCTCGGTATCGGCCTGCTGTGCGGTCTGGTCACTATGCTGGTGCGAAGCGTCGGCCTCTTCATGACCGGCCTGCTGCTGGGCCTTCTCCTGGCTGTTGCCGCCCTACTGGTCACTCAGCAGTTCTACACTCCAACCACAGTCTGGGTCCCACTGGGTTCACTTCTGGGAGCGGGCATGCTGTTTGCTGTGCTGACACTGCAGTGGCAAAAGCTCTTCACCATGCTCTCCACGGCTGTGTTCGGGGCAGCTATCATTACAGTGTGTGCTGATTACTTTGTGGAGATGCTGGTTTTGGCCACGCATGTGTATGAATGCTTGCGCCTCACACCCGGGCCACCTCTCTGCTGGTACAGCTGGGTCATTCTGGGCATCTGGCCTGCCCTCAGCCTCATAGGAGTACTGGTCCAGTGGAAACTGACGGATGACAGCTTCTCACACACTGAGGGTAAGGAGGAAATATCATGATCCTTTGAGATCTGTTGTAGGGGGGATTTAGGGACCGTATTCATCCAACTTATAAGAATTCAGGCGTTGCGGCGATTAGCACCTGGGTTGTGCAGCGGTGTGGGAGTGTCCCTTAAATGGCCACTTTGTGACATCAATTGTTTTCAAGCCTGACAGCGTTGCTTCTGCTGCTTTGTTGCTGCCAGCCATTCAAAATGGCCAGAATGTTTCATTTCATTATAAATGTAATTTATAGACGGGTCGGGTTGGTTACCGACATAGAGACCGCACACTGAGGAGAGTCCGCCTTGATTAACAGTTGCACCGGGAAAAGGGGGCTCCGTCACTCCCCACAGAGAGAGAGGCAGCAAGTACTAAGTGCACAGCTTTGGGAAGCAAAGTCTGGGTTAGGGGTGATGTAAAGCTGACACAGCCTGAACCGCCAGCCACATGATTTTTTATGGCATACTATACTATACTATGACTTTTTTGACATTTTTATGATATATATATATATATATATATATATGATCTATTCTATTCTATACTTTTTTTTTTTTACTCTTTTACGAGATACAATGCTGTTTTTTTGTTGACATTTTTAAGACATAATACTTTTACTTCTTTAATGACGTTCTATACAATTACTTTTTCATCCCTTTTTAAGACATTTTGTTTTTTAATGGCATTTTTATGATATTCTGTACTATGCCTTTTTTGACATACTATATTATGACTTTTTTAATGACTTTTATGGCATTCTATACCATCACTTTTTTTTACATACTATACCATGACTTTTTATGTCTTCGCGCCATCAAAAGCATGGTATTTAGTTTGCAAGTTGTTCCTCTATCTTACCTTGATGGAAATTTTTTAAATTTGACACAAAGGTCGACTTGGACTGAAGGATGAACCGATTCGATTTTAGGTTGTCAAAGGTCAAGGTAGCTGTGACCACACAGCCGTCCCATTCTTGTGGTGGAATTTAATTTCATCTGGCACTTTGACTCAGGGATGAACTGGTTAGTAATGGTGGTAAAAGGTTATGGTCAATGTAACCTCAAAACACCGTTTTGGCCATAACTCAAGAAATGATATGCTGAGTATGACAATTTCATTAAAATGTCTAATGTCTACTTCTAGCTTAATGAAGCTGCCTTTGAATTTTCTCTTCTCCTTGTAGTCGTTATCAGTCGGAGACAGAAGAGAGTCCAGCTGATGCGAATTCGAGAGAAGGACGCCAAGAAGCGACAGCAGGCAGGTGGGCAGGAAGGCACATACCGCCGTAAACCTACCCCAGTGAAACGTTACGCTGGGGATCTACTGGCACCGGTCAGTGTCACCCAACATGGCGTGTGCTGTAGATGCTGATTATTGTGTTTTTATGGCATCAGTTATACCAGTGAGCCTAACAAATCCTTGTCAAGTTTACGCCCCCGTTTTTGTGTACCTGACTCATCTCTCCATGTGTTGTTCTTCTTAGAGCTACCTGCAAAGTCTGCGGGACAGACAGATGGGCACAGGCACTTCCCTTAGCAGCCTGGGCACTGCCAACCACACCATGATCGACTTGGACTATGACACCGGGTCCACCGCGCCCCTTACAGCTACAACCCCAGTCGTCAGGGTCTGAGCAAAAGGGACTACCTAGAGCTCTCTGGTTCTCCAACTTTGTCTTCTTAACATAGAGTAGAAGCAACAAACTGATACCCTCAGCTAAAGGTTTATTGTGCCCTTAAATTGGTTTGGAGAAAGAGGATTGTTTGGTAAAAGAGAATGCTGCTTTTTGGGGAGGGGTGTCACCTGTTTGGTGAAAGCTATAATATAACCACTACAACTACTGTGTTTCTCAGAGAAACACTTAAAAACAGATACTAACAAAGTAAGGTCCTCCATTTTTTTCATGATGTATTAAATACATAAATAGCAAGTACGAGCCTCAAAAACTGTTCTGTTATGGTAGTGAAGTGACGAAGCAATTTGTTTTACATTACATGTACTGTACTTAAAAAGTTAGTCATTGCCATGAAGTGTTGTTATTACCTGTCGTACCCGTTTAACTGTGTGCTCGTAGGATTTGTGAAAGTTTCTCATTAAAATGACTGTGTATTTGTTTAAATGGAGTTTGGTTTGGTGAGAGAGTAAAATATGACGGGTGGATACATGTATGACAAAGTGAAGCAAAAAATAAACGGTGCAAAAAGAAATACTTTGTATATCCCGTCAGAATAGAGTAGGTGAAGAATTTAGACTGTTGTGTATGCTTGTGGAGTGAACTTTTTATGAGTTAATTTATATATTGACTAAGTACATGATAGGGTTAAAAAAGGACAAAAAAACAAAGCATGTTTGTTAATTTGTAGATTTCTAAAGAATTATCCATTGTGATGTTTGAATTTTGCAGGGACAATGCACTTGTTTCCTGAATCTGTACATACCTGTTGATAAAAATTGCAAAGATAAATAAATGTGTTTCATACAAAAACAGTTTTCACTCCTTGATTGAGTCAGATTAATTACACTGTTGGTCTCTTGCGGCTCTTAGCAACACTGGCAGCAATCCTCACCAGGCATGGACAATAAATAGGTCATGGGGAGGATTTCCTACTAGGTAACTGGTTGGGGTTGTCATGGCGCCTCCAAAGTTTGTTTTTTTGCAAACAATGCAGGACCGACTGGCATTTCATCCTAATGAATGTTAAATTTAATTGTTTCATTATAGAAAATCTTCCATTTGAAATTGAAAAAACCTGGACACATATCTATGACACATGATTTCTCACAGACCAGCGTGAGTCATGAGATAATAGAAGTGTTTAGTAACATTTTATTGTTTAAAAACACTGAACAAACTTTTAAAAGAGTTGCATGATTGGTTAAAAACAATGTCTGAACAGGAAGTGCACACTCCCATCATATTTCATCTTACTGAAAGTATTAACACACATAACCCAACACATATGTTTGAGAGAAAAACAGAAGGCCTCCCTTGATTTCTCCCTGAGATCATACAAAAGCTTACATAATTCTCAAAGTCACAAAAACACACATATGTGCTCAACGAGTAAGCCTCACAAAAACCTACCTGCCACAGAGGGAAGGAGTAGTTTGGTTAAAATCAGATCCAGTGAAATAAAATCAATTCCTACACTATTTCTGTTCTTTTTTTTTTCCATGGTAGATAAAATTTACAATCACTGCTGTTGAGGTTGCCTGGTTGTCAATGCCTCTGGAGTGGAACCAGCACCCCTGCCGTGGACCTCTTGATCCATGCTGCCCCCTGATGGTTGGCCCCTAGCATCGCATCCAGCGCTCCCTCTTGCTCAGTGGGTATCCTCTGTCGACCCTCAGCAGCTTATTCACACGCCAGTACTCATCTCCCTTAAAGAAGAAGATGTTGCCGTTGTTCCAGGTGAAGGCTGCATCCGGACTGGACGGCACTCCAGTGAAGAGCATAGAGAGCGGTTTGGGGTAGAGACTTAAGTCCGTGTACTTCAACTCATCCCACTGCCAGTGTTCTGAACCCTACACAGACAGACAGTAAAGAGATTACAACTAAATATGTCTGCAAGAAGAATATCTGAGGACGCACTGACATGTTTAAATGCCGCCACATGTTTTGATACCTTGATAAAGACCACCTTCTTGTTCATCTCCAGGTAAATGGCTGCATCAATATTAGGAGGGATTCGTTTGACCTCTTTGGGGTAGCCGTAGTCCAGCACGAACATGGTATACCTCCACACTTTATTACCTGGGACCAGAAACAGTATAAATAGTCACACACTCACAGCTGGAGAACAGAAGAGCGCATGACAGAAGTATTGGACAACTGTACCTTTAAAAAAGTATGTCTTGTTGGTTCTTTGAGAGTACACGACAGCATTCAGGTTTCCAGGCAGGGCTCTCCACAGACTGCCAATCTTTATTGGTGTGTTGTGTCCCAGATCAGAGATCGTCCAGACGTAATCACCGCTGAAAGCAAAGGTTTTCCTCCATGGACCTGATTAAACAAACAGAGACGTACTCTGTGACACATTTTGTGATCCTGCTGTCGGACTAGAAAAGTGTTCAGGTAAAGTCAGGCTACAATGCACACAGGTGGGGCTTCTACTGTAAATACTCTAGCAACAGCTAATCTGTAATTTACCTAACATGATGGCATCCAGTGTGGCAGTGCAGGGGTCAGGGAGGTTCTCAGTATCATGGCTGCTTTCTGTGGGAAACACACTGTCTGGAGGTGTCGGACTGGCTAAAGTGCTGGTGATGCGTTTACCTATAAAACAAAGAAAGTTTTAGGATGTATGCTTTCCTTACTTTGACATAAAACACAGTGACTCAAAGTCATGCAATCACATGAAGTGTCAGGTTGAGTCACAGGTACTGATACAAAATTGATAGCTCTGATCTAGTCCAGTGGGCCTTCTTGATGCACTCACCATATAAGATCTGGATGCCTCTGATATCATCTGTATGCAGCCTAAAATTGGCACGGTAACCACCGTAGACTGGAGCCATCAGAGCGCTTCTGAACTGAGAGTGGCCCAGGCCGAGGGCGTGGCCAATTTCATGGGCAGCCACAATACGCAGATTAGTACCATAATATGCTCCCTCAGTCCAGAACTCATCCTCATCAAAATGGACAATACCAGATTCTGGTGACTCAGCATGGGCGAGTACATGACCTGCAGGTGGTACAAATAAACAATTTAGGTTTGTGTTTCAGGGGATACTAGGCCCAATAGGAGCTATATCTATATATCTAAATAAAAAAACTGACCACGGCCATCAAATGGGTTGGCGCAGAAGCCGTCTTTCTTATGAAAGGAGATCTTGATGTCTGCTCTGCCATAGTCGACTTCTCTGAAGGTCAAAGCAGCCACATCACTCCAGAACTTGAAGGCATAGAGGACGGCCATCTTCACCTCTACCTTCTTCATGTCAGGTGTGTAGTTGTAGATGCGGTAGGTCAGACTCCTCTTTCTCCAACGACCTGTCAGAGAAGAATCCTTTTTTATGACATACTATACGATGACATTTTGTTATTCTGATGACATAATAAACCATAAATATTTATGACTTTTTAAAAATGCATACCTGTCATTTTTGTCAACATACTTTACAATACACTTTTCCTGACTTTTTCTGTGTTGACTATAATATGACGCTTTTAAAAAGAAATACTATACTATGAAGTTTTTTAATGTATATTTGGACATGCCATACTATGATTTTATTGACGTTTTAATGAGATACTATGGTATGATATATTATGACTTTTTATAATATATTATAATATGACTTATTTTGGACATAATATACTATGAATTTTAGACATTTTAATGACATACTGTACTATGACAATATATGACATATTATGCTACATATAATAACATACTATACTCTGCCTTTTAATTACTTTTTTCAACTATGATGTTTTATGACATTTTAATGTCATAGCTACTATACTTTTTGGAACTTTGATGACATACTTTACTATGACTTTTTTGACATTTTATTTACGCACCATATTATTACTTTTTATGATTTTTTCATGGCATAATACACTACAACTTTTAAATAATTTAATGACATACTGTACGATGAATATTTCATGACATACTATAGTATGAGTTTTTATGACATTTTAATATACTGTACAATGACATTTTCATAGCATACCACGTTATGACATTTGATGCACTCTACACTGACCTGTTTATTACATTTGTATGACATTCTATACTATGATATTTTTTACATTTTATTGAAATACTATGCTGACTATTTTTTTTGTCATTATATTGATCCATTATATTTAATGTCATTATATTGATCCATGACACTTTGTGACAACATGGCCCACAGATGTCAAAGTTAGAGCTACAAATATTTGTAACATTGTTTACACTGGTGCCCAATTTATTGAACCCTGTACTGTTTAAAAAGTTAACAGATCTAAAGCTTATTTTCTCGACTCACCCATCACTCTGTATTTGTGATATTTCTTGTTGAAGGGGTCTTCCATGCCACATCGCGGCTGTCTCATCAGTTCCACAGTAGCTTCATCTAGTTCTCCAGTAGGTGGCAGATCATTCACACCCTGGAAAACCCTGGAGACAAGAAGTGATCAAACATCTGCAAATTGAGGGCTGCTCGCATCCTCCTTCACTGTATCAGGGATATTAACTTATAGTAGCTATGCATGTTTCCCCTGAAACAGCATTAGTCTATTTTACCTGAGAGCTTCAATGACCTCTTCCAGGTAATGAGGGTCCTGTGGATCAGCAGGGTCATTCAGGTATCCATACTGCCTCAAATAGGCCTGTGAAGCAGAGGCAGACAATAAGGCTCACTGAAAAGAATACTGTTAATATATTAAGCATGCATATATTGCTGTTGACATGAATAAAATTGTGAATGTATGTTTTAAAATGTACGAAGCACCTTTACCTTTGCTTCATGTAATTCTGTCCATTGCACCACAGCACAAATAGCTCCTCTGAGGTTGAGCAGCAGCAGCAGCAGCAGCCATGTGTAGTCCATATTCAAGTTCTCAATAATCCAGGGCTGATGTTCAGAGCCTGAGAAGTGCACAGTCCCACAACAGACTGTTTGTTCTCAGAGTGCTCCAGCAGTTTTTAACTCAGCCCGGCGCATGAGTCAGCCCTGCGGCTGCGATGATCCATCCCTGAAGAATGAGGATTACAAGAGAAGCCAGATGACCTCCAGCCAACATGTCTGCTGTTGAATTGTTCAGCTGTTCAGAGAGGACGCAGAGCTGCAGCAGTGGTCTACACACTCGACCAGTTTAGAGGGTCATGGTAGTGTTTGACTCTATGAAAAGAGGCCAATCACCCTGAACAACACTATCACGATAACAATCACATATTCTTCCCTCAGGGTCAATGCCCTCTTGTTGATTCCCTGTTGTCACAGCAGTGTCTGTCCTACAGGTACGTATTATGGTTTAATTATGGGCCTCCATTTCCACATTCCTGCTGTCCCCACACCTATCTGAGAGAAATTCACCATTGGACCCATCCATGCAGACATGTAATCAGATATACAAAAGATCTGGTATGCTGTTACATGTTGACAACAACAATATTTCCTTTAAATGTGGTCTGAAATGTTTTACGGCAAGAGTCCAGGTTTCAAATGCAAATTGTCACCTCACCACCAAAATACAAAACACTGGTTTGTCATATTACTCCTAAATTGATTGATGAGTGTTTTAATAGACTAACACCAGGCAGCAATGTCTGGGTCCGGATCCGGACCGCGGCCCGCCAGTTGGGGACCCCTGCTCTAGGGGAACCACCAAAGAATGATGACCCAGTCCACATATGTACTGTATGGTTCAGTCTTTTTGCTCTTAACAAGCTAATAAAACTAATAAAAGCTAATGAAAGCTAGCTCCCAGATAATGCTGGAACAGTAGCTCTCCCAGCTGCCCAGCCCCAAAGACAGACAAGCAACCAGCTGGCCAGAGTCTCGCATCTAGGAAGCAAAACACCCAGATATCTGAGGAGTTGACAGAAGTGAGTGAAAATAGAACCTAAATTCTTCAGGTGGTCAGAAACACTACAAAGATAATCTTGCTCTGCCCGAATGACATCAGTGTTTGTCGGTTTGTTGCTGTTATTCACCCCGAGTGGCCAAAATTTGACGAATAGAGCTTTAAGTGAAATTCTTAATTTAAAAAAAAATTAGAGATGCATATCTATTATTAGTCCTTATTCTGGCATATAATGATCAGAAATATATATTATAGAAAAGATAATCATGTCTCAACAATCATGCTAGTGGGTCCATGCTTTCAATTTGGGTGGTTGTGTATTACATGACCTTTTGGTTTCAAATAATTAAGTCAAAGAGGAAAGAACTAGGAACTTTTGTTACCAATTCCTGCTTGTTTTGGCTTATTTTAGATCGGTTTTCGGTTGTGTAGAATTGATAAAAACCTTGTTTTAAAGCCTAAGCAAGGGAAAAGCCTCCAGAGTTTATAATTATCTAGCTGTGGATGACTGAAGGTTAATATTGTCCTGTGAAATTCTCACAATGCGAAGACTTAAAACTTTATTTGGACATTTGTACGGTAACTTTACCTTTTGGAATAGGACGACAGCAGACTGTCGCGTGTGGAGTCGGTATAAATGTTACAGCAGCATGAGCCGACAAAGCAGCTGGTCTCAAGATGTGAGTGCATGGTTAATGATTGGCATCGTACACTCAGACTTAAACCTGAGGAAACATACTAACACCAAAGGTTTGTCTTTGTATGCCAACAGCAGAATTTCTCTTTCAGATTTCCCAAGCTACTGCAGGTGCTGTTAGGCCCTTTGATTTATCGCAAATTGGCATCAAACTAAGAATTCTTCATACAGACAAATAGGTTTAACTTTTTCTTGTATATACCTTTGATGGTTTTCCCGGTCTGCATGCTGCTCATTCCCCACTGTATCACAACTTATCACACAGAGGAATCAAACCAAAGCTTTAGTGCACTGGTTTGCATTTACCACCAATGTGACACAAGTGTCTGTATTTGCTGACCTAAAGAGGAAGTCAGGAAGTGTCAGCTTCATCTGTTTCCTATCTACTGTATTTGTCATTGTTGAGACAGAATCCTTATTACTCACAATGAAAAGAAAGCAACAGAAAGAAGGAACAAGCAAGAAGTGGGAGTACAGTATAGGATTTATTTCAGTTTCAGGTTTCTGAAACATTACACAGCAGCATACTAGTGTTTGGTGCACCACGAGTAAACAGAGCATGTAGAACATTTTGTCCAAATGATCTTGCTTGATACCACATTAATGTCTCATCTGCTACTGACGGGAGCGGATATTTCTCATTTATTTTAAGTGTTTGTGAGTAGTGCATACTCATAGCAGCGTCAGGAGTCTGAACCAAGAGAATACATAAAATCTCAGTCGGGGTCGACTGCAGAGCCACATAAATGTGTTTTCTTTATCTGCACAACAAATTTCTGCTTACCAAACTTTTAGTCATTTATGACTCAGAGACGGATCAGAATGAAAAGTTTATAGCAAACATGATTGCCAAACAACTTTGCAATTTTGGGTCAATAGCCCCAGGATACAGATAAACAAGAGAGTCCCACATCATTTATCATGTGCGTAAACCCCCGAAATATATCTGCTTTCATTTGATAAAAGAAAACCTCTCTTGCAGGCCAAGAAAAAATGTGCAGGCGAATATCTTTATCCATTTAATCCTATTCAGGATAAAAGGCCACTTGTGTTCGTGACAACATCATGATTCACTTCACATCACTTAATAGGTTTGAGCAGTGCAGTTTTGAGCTACTCAAATTACTGTGAATTATATTATATATTATATATATTTTTTCTATTGCATTCTTTTATACCTCCAATCTTATGTCCTGATCTTTCCTCATCTTTTACATGAACTTGTCCTCCCTTCCTCCCTCCTGTTCATCTTCCTGCCAGCTGCAGCATCTTTTTTTCAGAAGACTGTCTGAGTCACTTAGATCCTGTTTCTTCTGTTACAACATTTAATAAACGTACTAAGAAAAAGCAGAAGTGAAAGATTTTGATGAGGATCAAAGATTTTGGTGATTATAATAAATTGTTCAAGATTCTAGCATTGCTCTCAGCAAACAATGGCCTCCTGATGTTGACAGCTACTGGATTTTAGCAGAGCTAACTTCAGCTTTCAAAACAACATCATATAATATAATATAATATGATATATTCACCAACATGTGAAAGTGGTATCATATTAAAGTTTGTCAAATTAAAACAGTGAGGTTTCAAATATTCTCTTCCCAGAGTTTACAGCGAGCAAACAGAGAACACCAGTGAACCAGTAAAGATGACATTATATAGAAAAGGCTTTTACAGTATGGACAAAAGTTCTTAAAAGAATCTTAAAATCAATCCTAAATTTAACTGGCAACCAAATATGTTCCACATTTCATAAGAAATAATTTTATATATTAATTTTTTACAATTAGTAATATTATTAATGTTTTTGTATTAATTAAAATGACCCTTGAAGAAAAGTAAACAGAAAAAATGTATTTGCTTTTCATTAAATATAAACAATAGTTTATATTGTTTAGTCAGGGAGGAACAGAGAATGGAAAATGTAAGCACTGCAAAGCTGAGCAACACATTATATCACTATGATGTTATCACTATGATGTTAAAAGCTGACACAAGCGTTTTTTGAGTTTTTGGCACTGAGCAGCAATTGACACACCAGAAGTCTCTGTAAAACTAGAACTCTTTAGTCATCTTCAACGATAATGTACATTTTACATAAAACAGTGTCGTCAAAACTGTGGTCACAAAGCGACTTGTCTCTGCAGAGTGTTGTGGTGCAACCACAGCTACATCCCCACAGTGAGGTGTTGAGACAGTGCGGGGCAACTCAACAAGCTGAATGGTGCACAGAGATCACAGTACACTTCTGATTTGCAGACTAAACACAAGCATTGATGATCTACACCACAGACATTGGCTTCTGATCATTTTCCTTTAAGCTAATCAAACTTTTTCCCATAAAAGAGTTATTTTATTATCTTCTCACGTACAAAAGTTATTAATCAGCAAAGTCAGAGCAGCAGATAAACAAACGCTTCCAATGTTTTAAAACGTACACGTTGATTCCAGTCTCAGTAAACTCCAATTGTTCTTTCTCAAATAAAGTGAACACTGTATAACGACTATATAATAAACTTAAAATTAGGTTTTCAAATTACGATGCATTATTAATAATACAATTACTTCAACCCTTTTAATATCGTGTGTGCATCTACAGCATTGAGAACGTCAATACAGATTACAAAATAAACACTTGAGAATTTACAGACTCACGTGTTCACTTAAGACCAAAGTGTAAGTGAATCATCATCACTAGATAAGACGGACATGTTCCGGTCACTAACAGACTTCAGCTTTGTGCTAATATAGGGTCTGAAGCCCACGTACCATATAAGCCCACCTGCAACTTCTGAGTCAAAAAACACTACATCTTTTTTTGCTTCCAATAAAACAGTTTGTTTCATAAATTACACTTTTTTATTGTAAATCAATCTGTCACTATTGAGTCATTGAACATGTGTGACATGCACCTGCTGATCCCAGAAGAAGTTGCAGAAAAACTTTGGTGATGTCGGTACAATCAGATTATTATTGCTACTCTTTTTGGTAAATACTCATTTGTTATCAAAAGTTTAGCAATTAGTGTTTTGAAGAAGACAAATGTTAGAATATTACTTCAATAGGAAATAGTGTTTCTCTTGAAATCAAAATGTGAGCTTTAGCACGCTAGCAGACAGACCACATGCTGCTTCAATACCATAGCTGCATAGCAGTACAGTAATAGTTTTTGTATGTAGTTTATATTTAATGTTAAATAGACCATAATGTGTAGGTTTATCTGTATGTATTTTTATTTGTACCTGGTGGGGACACGAGCAAAAACAACTCTGTCTGTGGGGTGGATGTGAATGAGTAGAGGATCATTAGTTTGCATGATCCATTTATACTACTCATGTTCCATCAGTGCACCTAAGATAGATTAACGTCATGTAGTTTTTTGAATGTCATGTACAAAGACATAACTATAAATTCACTGATGTTCCCATTAAGCCCACTTGATTGTGTTTCAATGGTGATTTTCTCACTTTTGGCCTTTGAATTATTTTCCTCCCTAATTTTGATCTCATCTGATGAATCAGCTCCATAATTCTGATAATTAATATCCTTAAATAAATATCAGTGATGTTAGGTCATAGGTCATTTAATGACCTATGATGTGCCAAGAGCACATCATAGGATAGATATACCGACAAAATGACAACACGTAATGAAAGATGAATAATGAAGAATTTTCATTAAAGTTTTGATTTTGTTTGTAAACTATTTATCCTCCAAAGACAAGTTGTAAGTTAAGCTTTTCCTGCGTTGATGACGCAGTGAAAAGGCTGGTCATGTCTGTTACATGGCATGTAGAGGCCAGAGGATAGAAGTGGAGACAAAATGAAAAGAGATTACAGATTTGAATAGAACAAGTTTGTATTGTTGAGATTTTTTTTAAATAAATATATATTTATCAGCAAATCATTAAGTTGGCTTATTTGGAACACCCACAGGCTCAAAGGGTACATTAGGTACCCGTGAAGCCCATGCCAGACATATTAAACAATAAAAACATTAGAAATGAGTATAAATGTATTATTCACACACCAAACGTTCTCACTGAATTACCCTCATCTCAAATCTCACAGGCAACATGATTGCATAAATACTTCAAAGCTGTTTGTCAAAAACTCCTGCTGTATTTTTTAAGAAACAGATTTTCTTCCTCCATCACTGTTCCTGCTGAGGTAAGCCGGGCTCAGACCACATGGGTTTAAAATCCTTTCCGGTTTATAAACCGGGTTGCATCATAAGGAGAATCTTCACACGTTCTTCTCTCTAACACCAAACATGCACACACTACGAGATTTGAAAATGAAGGTGGGATTATTGTTAAGATTATCATGCTTAGAGGAGCAACGCAACACATCACGTGATCTCTCTCTCATGATCTCACGGGGAAGCAAATGCAATCAAAACGGAGATTGACGTGACACTACAAATTGTTGTAGTAATGCTTGGCAGTGACAAAAAACAAAAGCAGAAGGCTAAATGAGTCTGGAGTCAGTATTTATTTCAGTAGTATGTTAGCTAACGTTAGCCTCGAGGGCTAGAACGTTTGGGCACCGATGAGGCTGTGAATGTTTGGGGTGGTTTAAGACTGGTTCTGTAAAACCCTCACATTCCTCCATAATCTGGGCTGAACATTGGTACAGACCAACGTCCCGGACCGCATATCTCCCTCCGATTGTCAACAGCGGTGAATCAGAGTTAAAACGGGCCAAAACTCTTGTAGCCTGAGCTCGGCTTTAGTAACAGATTTAAAACAACGTCCACTCTCTGATGACTCTTTCGGGCGTAAAGTCTATTCCTCGCTCTCATCCTCTCTGATCTTCACGTTCACTCTGTGCCAGGCGTTACTCAGCACGCCCCTCAGATTCCAGATGGGAGCAACTGTGTCCGGCTGCATGTTGTAACTGTTATCAACCGCCTTGCAAACTATCTCCAGCTCCTGAGCCTCCGGAGGAAGCGGAGCCGTTACCTCCCACAGCTTCCAGGCCCAGGCTCGTCCCGGTGGGGGCGACGGTTCAGGCGCTTGTCCCTTCTCGCTGCTCTTCAGTTGGGCCACCTGCCACGTCTTTCCTCCATCCAGAGACACATCTACACGCACTACCTCTCTGCCACCGCCGCTCCAGGCGTAACCCTTCACGGTCACGTCTTCCAAACTGCGATCGACCACAGCACCGTCTGCCGGTGTGGTGATGGCTGACTGAATAGGCAGCTCTTGGATGGCCGGAGCAGACTTGAAGTCCACCGTGTCCCAGTCCGTCCCGGGGGAAAAGCCCTTGTAGTCGTTCTGCTGCCAGTGGCTGCTGCTTTCGTCTGCACTCACTATGATCTTCCCCAACCATTTAACATTGCGTGCGCCCACTGTGCCTGGCACCACAACGCGGACGGGGTAGCCGTGGTCGGCAGGGAGATCTGCGCCATTCATTTCATAAGCCAGCAACACATCACCCTCCTCACTAACTGCCTTGTTCAGAGGGATGGAAGCACCGTAGGTGGTCCCCGTCACGTCTTTGTCCAGACCTTCAAACTGAACATGGACAGCCCGCTGGGCCACATCGGGCCCGTATCCGGCGGCCAGCAGCACATCCCTGAGCCTCGCACCGCTCCATGTGGCGTTACTGATCGCCGCAATGCCCCAGTTCAGTCCTTTCACCTGCTTCACCTTATTCATCTCAGAGCGACGGTTACCGGCACACTGCAGCGTGGCGGTCACGGTGTGTTTGGGGAATCGAGTCTTTAACTCTTCTAAAGACAGCGTCAGCACTCCTCCAGGGAGTCCCTCCACCATCAGCTGATATGAAGCCGGGTCCACCGGAGGAACTGGCAGGTGGTTTCTTTTGAAGAAGAAAGCCGAGGGGGTGATGAAGCTGTCGGAGAGGATTTCAGGAGGCGGCTCAGCGTTGAAGGGCTTGAGGTTGTTGATGTGCAGGACGGGGTGACGCTCGGGGTCGGAAGAGTAGGGGTCCGATGTCTGAATAGTCTTCTGCTTCTTCAGGTCTTCTGCACTCAGCTCACCAACCTTGTGTTAACCACAGACACATGTTGTATTAGGCCACATGGGACTCAATGCTACAAGCTATCACACATTTTCAAGGGACATTTTCTGTTCATCTCAAATTGCTAAAAGTGCAAATCAAAAAGGCAAAGACAGACAAATAACTGTTTGTTTACCAGGAAACACCACAAAAACACACAAGGAACAGTGTTTCTCTTACTGACCACGTAAAGAGTGCCAGTATTTAGCCTACAGCTGTTCCTTAGTATACAGTATGCAGTAGACCTTTTCATGTGTGTCTTCAGAGATCACGGGCAAGACAGACAAAATAAATGACAAGTTCATTTTAGGATAAATTCAACTGAGAACCCCGGCTTTACAGCCGCTATAGGTTTACATAGTTTTTAATGGATTTGTATACTAAATAGATGCTGAAGGGGTGTTATTGCAATGCATATTGTGACTGAATTGCATTTAAAGCAAGTTAAAGCGTTTGTGTTAAAGCTGTGTGAGCAGCGCTACAGCAAATACATGAGATCAAAGTTTAACCAAAAACTCAAAGAGTGTAAACTGTGGATGGATGTTTACAACCAACAGACTGGGCAGTCATTTTACCATTTAGGTTCAGTTTCTTCTACAGTTCGGTTCCATTTTCCAGCCACAAATGTAACTCAAAGGAACAGAACTTTGCGAGGTGAAGCTGCACACTGGGTATGTTACATTGGTCAATTTCAAATGGAAGTCAGTGATGGTTGAAAACTTTGACTTAAGGTCAGCAGTATATTTTATCTGCAAATGTCTCCACATAGGCTTACAAACACTGGCTACAGAGTTTGGTGCTCGCAGCCATTTCTTGTCTCAGCTTCGTGTTGATGAACTTTTTCTACCCAATGAAAATCTGCTGAAAAGCCATTTCTTTCCTATACTCTGTTGTTAATATTCTACTTCTATTGTTCTTCACTGACATTTATTTTAACTATCAAAAGAAACCAAGAATCTGCCCACCTTGTACTCTGAGAGCATTTCCAGCACATGCTCCTGGTTGTGCACAGCATACAGTGCCCAGAAGGGTTCAAGGGCTCCACCTGCTGCCAGCAGGATCTTATCCCCACCAGGGTGCATGGCAACAAACTCAGTGATGTCATAGACACCACCTTTGTAAGTGACCCACACGCCATCCTCCAGAGAGCGGTGACTGGTGACCTCTTCCTGGCTGAAGATGGGAAAAGCTGAGGTCTTCTCTATTGCCTGCACTCTAATGGTGTCTTCCTGCTCAGCCTGCACCAGAGAGGAGAGAGGAGAGAGGAGACAGGAGACAGGAGACAGGAGAGAGGAGGTATCAGTTTTGTGATTTATCAAAAAAAGACATTTAAAAAGAGAAAATACTGGAAACCAGGAATCCAGTCTACATACTTGAAAAGAGCATGTTGTAAATATAGATTTTGCTTAATGTAACTGTAACTAAAAGTTCATTTGGATTCTTCTGTGATCACTGTTTTAACTGCAGGCCTCTGGTTTTATGGTGGTAAACTGGCTGTGACAGCAGTGTGCGTTCTCATGTTTGCACATGCCGACACAATGCTGATGTTGGTATGTTATAAATATCTAGCCTGCTCTCTCTCTCTGTTATCTGAACAGCCTCTGGATAGGACACACAGACTGAAAGGCCTATGACTTTAGACTGATGCCATGAAGGCACATCAGCCTACACTGCCATACCACACTTCATTGTGCAAACGACACATGTTGGCTTTGTTTGCGATACAGCAGCAACAAGTTCCTGAACGTCTGACTGAAGCAAATAGACATACATCACTATACTATACTACCCCTTCTACTACTGTAGTACTAGTTGTACTGCTACTGCTAATAAAAGCAGCTTCAAACAGACCGTTTTCAGCATGACTGTGTTAATTATTCACTCAAATACATGAGACAGCTGCACTGCTGCTTAGAGCGGTTAATGTTTTCTCACTGTTCATGAGAAAGCTTGATGGATCTGTAATGTTTGTCACTACCCGAGTAGATGAAACCCATGTTTGACATTATATGGATTTTAAAGAAATAAAATGTATCCGTCACTTTGGGGCGCAACAAACTCTGCAGTAAAAGTTTGGTAATTATATTTACAATACATAACAAAAATGACAAAAGACATTTCTGAATTTGCAACGCTCAGTTTGGTAAGTCGATGTCATAATCAATCATAATAAGTATTTGTCCCTAAATTAAATGTTATTGAACAGTTTAGATACTTGAATAATTAAGATTGTTTCATATACAGCACATTTACACCATGCTGCTCCATCAACTTGATCCTTTTTAAAGGAACAGACCTTTCAGACAAATCATGTCAAATGCTCATCACAATCAAAGTCATGACTTCATGCTGTTGTTTTGTTGAACAACAGTTAAAAACATGTTTAATAGACGCGATTTAGCCATGACACAACAAAAGCAAATCAAACATTGACTGTCTTTACAGATCTAATCTAGTCCTGACCTTGTGGTGGTGGAGGCCATAAGCCAGTACAGCCCCGGTACCAGCCAGCAGTCCTGCCAGGCCATGTCTCCAGCTGGGCCCGTGGGCCCGCTGGTACGATCTCTGGTCCTCACTGCTGCTGCTGCTGCTCCAGAGACGACCTGCGCATGAGGCCACAGCAGGTGCCACTTGAAGCCTATGAAATAAAATAAAAATGGCAATGTCCCTTTTATGCAGATCAAGCGGCGCTCATTAGGTTTAAAACAGTGAAGACCTATAGCCTGCTCCATCAGTGCAGGCCAAGTCAATAAATGCCAGGTAAAGTAAATGTTTGTTCCAGGGAGGTACCTTTGAGTGTTGAGAGGGCCAAAGCGAGTCAGGCTGTGGCAGCGTCGCAGAAGCAGCATTGCGCTGATGTTCTGTTAAGAAAAGTTCATTTCACAGTGAAACAAAATCTTGCAAAGAACTTCTATTAACAAGTTACTGAAGTTCCACAAAAAGCAGCGAAATGCAATTTGGTGGGTTTAAATCATTTCTATTTTTTATTTTGCAAAGCAAATAACATGATTCTTGGGAAAGTTAAAGGCAACACGAACAAGCAGAATGTGGCACCTGAAAGACACCCATTGATAGCGACCTGCAGTGGCTGATAAAGGGATTAACTCTCTACGATAAGTGTGTCAGCCTGACTTAAAGGAAAGTGTCAGCTTTATCGAGAGCAGTAGTTCCCAAGAGGTACGGCCAGTTGCAAAGGAAAGGAAATATCCAGTAAACTTCCAAAAACTTTCATCTCAAATAAATATTCTTTGTGTACCATTCAGATTACTGCACATAACTGTTGCAGCCTTCAGCAGCTTCATATGCTTACGACGATAAGTTGAAAATGAACACCGATTTAGAAAATACATTGGGTCAGACTAGAGAAATATGCAATTTGTTAAGTTAAGATCTGCTTGCAGAGACCTGTAACAGTCCTACTGACTACAGGCTCCGTCACTGCTGTGTTAGGACACAGGGAGCGTAACACGGGGGCAGAAGTGGTAAAAACAAACATGCTGTTGTGTGCAGGAGTTTTTGCTTGACGGCGAAAGTACAGTCTGATATACAGATGTTTTATTTCAGCATAGATCACCAAAACCGTCTCTGTCGTAACAGCCGACACGTGGTCCTGTTAAAACTGACCAACTGAACCTTTAAACAAGGGTTTAAAACAACTCCTACAGAACTGACCAACCAGCAGTTACTTCAACCTACAGAAGGAGCCAACCGGCTCAGGGGGAGTGAACGGATAAGTTCACCTTTCTCTGACCACAGAAATATCAGCCCAAAGTAACTCCATCACGGTCAACACAGTCTCAGTTTGTCAAGCATACAATTAAGAAAGGAAGAGACCATCTTACCTTGTCTTCTTCTGTGATCAATACAGACACTTTAACAAGACAGGAATCAAGGAACGTGACCAAATATCACTTAGGAAAACATCTTTGGGTTTATGATCGACTAACTGGAAGAGCAAAGTATACATTGTCCTTTATCTTCATCAGAGGAGCACACACTGTCATTGAAAAATTGTCAACAAAAAAAAGCATAATTTCTCTCACACACGGTGACAGATATGATGTGGTGGAGCGCTGCATTGTCAATCATCTACAACCTTTCTTATCACCGTCAACTGTAAGATTACTCGGTTATCTTCAACTACATTTGACTTTTCCACTGAGGGAAACTGTAATCTCCTCATGTTAAGATAGGGTCTCACTACATTTTAATAAGAGAAACAGCTGAGGCCGATCAAAATAATGAAGAAATAATTCACACTTTAACAAAAAGTCAGAGTAAAGGAAAGTTACATTTAAGCGCTTTTAAACGTGTAAAGTAATTAGATTAACAGAACACTTAACATATGTAGCGTACACGGCTACGTCATCTCACGCCAGTTAGCCTCGTAGGATCACGATCTATCCTAAATATAGTTTTCTGCACGGACACACTTCGTGTCAGCTAACTTCACAGCGAGGTAAACGCCACGAAGAGTCAACGTTAAAGCAGACATTGTAGCGCTTCACCATCACCCTCCTCATGGCTATTTTAGCCAACACTCGAGTTAGCGAGCTTGATAATGACAGCCAGCCTGTCCGACTCCTCCAACTCATTCACACGTGTTCATAAGCAGAGGAAACGTTAATGTTATGTTCGTTAAACGTAAACAAAACCACTACAACTACTCACTTCTGTTGTGTCAGTCGCCTGCTTGTACTCAGATGCTCTCCACGATTCACAACGGAAGCACAGCCCTGAAACGTTGCTCTGAAACGTTGCTCTGAAACGTTGCCCTGAAACGTTGCTCTGAAACGTAACACGGACCGAGAGGCGTTCAAGACAACTTGTCATGTGGCAACCTAAAGCCCTGCAACTCAGCAGGCGAGGTAGTTATAAACTGCAGGCTGTGTTTTATCATTTATTTAATCAATAAAATAAGTTTTTCTATCAATATTTTGTGTCAGTTGATCTCTTCAGATTAGCTTCAGTGTAATAAGCCTAATAATAATTGGTCATTATTGCAAAATGAAGCCCCTTCAGTGTGATTCAAGATGAAATAAAGATTTGATTTTTTTAAATCACAATAATCACTGCTGTGCATCATCACTTTACATGATGATTTGTGCTTTGTGAACACTGGTGACTGGAAATCTATCTAACAAATGACTCACACCTTTCTTTTAAGCAGATTTTTAATTATTTAATTTGTGTGGAAACATGCACCTATCAACAGATCTCCCACAGTACATTTTTTGCCCAAGGGCTTCACAGCAGGTTAATACTGACATGCTCCAATATATCTGACTGTTTTTTCAAGCTCTCTGTCTCTTCCTCATTGAACGAACCCTGAATGCACCTGAGTTTACATGCAGGGTGTTCTGAATAAAACTCAACATGGTAGCAGGTAAGAGAATATGCATTGAGACCCAACAGCAACATCTTGTCTGGGCAGCGTAGTGTAGAGCACAACCCTCACACACTGGAGGGCCTGCATGACGGACAGACAAATCAAATCAGACAATAATCTGATGATACCAGACAAACCATTAAATACACTCATGCAAGAGCAGCTGTCGTCACAGTCTGTTAGCAGGAGGTGGTGGATGTCTCTTTCTCTATGCCCTTTGAAATGAAGGGACAATGAAGAAGAAGCTCTACTGGTTCTTACCGTCTAAAGAAGCATATTTTTATCTTTTGGATTTTATCGCAGCAGAACCTTGGTAGTCTTGCTAGATTTGCATCCCTTATCAGCTGCTGAGTCAATGGGAAAACTATATTAAAACTATAAAACTATATCAATAAACCTAATTGTTCCAGTCAACAGCAGGTAGGCCTTCACACAGCAGACAGAACCTTGGTAGTCTTGCTATCTGGCTTCCCTTATCAGCTGACATGTCAAAGAGGACGTCTCTATTCGGAAACTTTATTGTTCCAGGCAACTGCAGGTACAGGCCCACAAAGAGCTGCTCCATTATTTTTACTTTTGTTTCCCTGAAGAGAACAAGTGTTCAAATATTTTGTTTCCAGCAGCAATTTTTTATGACAAACTCATCAATCCATAGCCCCATTTCTACCATTAATCAGTGTTCTCTTACTGGTTTGTGTCATAAAGCAATTCACCCTTATCCTGCTGTGTAATGCATGTAGCTGCTTCTGCTTTGAGTAAATACGCTCTCTTCTCTTTCAAAGCAACTTTATTTAATATATTTACTGCCACTGACCTGAAATGACACATATCTGAGAAGCAGAATGTTACAAAAGAAGAGTATGTTTAGATTTCACCACTGTTGGCTGAACGTTGTCTGTTTCTCTTGTTTAAACTTTACTTGTGTCAGCCGTTTCACGTTTGGGGAATTCAGTCAAAACATAACCTGTGGCACATATTGAGTTAGGGTGGAGTTTCTATGGCAACAGCAGATTCACTTGACTGCACCGTCTGTGTTTTGATGACAATATTTCCAACACCCCTGGTGGATTTCTAACACATTATCCCAGTCATTTCTTTGGGTGCTTAGATGGTCCAGTGTCCTTATTGCCCTCTGAAACCTTCCTGTTAGTTCAATTTGTAAAAATGGACCAGAACACGCTATCTCACTGAAATATTTTACACGTAAAACAATTCCTTAAGCTCACAGTCAAGGGACAAATCTGTCAGATAAAGATCAGGCGACAGTCAGGCTTCACACACAGACCTTAAATACATACAGTATTTATTTAAGAATGGTATGCAGTTGGGTGCAACCTACTAATGTATTAGAGCTGTAAATGTCAGAAATATTTCTTTGTTGGGGAGTTCCCTCTAGGTGGGAAGGTGTGTTTAATGTCATTTGTTTTTGAATAATGCTGCGTAGTTATTGCATCTCATATGGATTTTGTAGGCTTTTTGTAGTTTTTAATGAGTGCAACCAACTGCCCTGAGATAGGCTATTTCATCCTGATCAGAATAGTACTTTTCAAATATTTGCTTCTATTGCTACTGTAGCGAAACCCGGTCACTTGTACTGTGTGCATACTGGGCTCTCTAGCACTGCCTGTTGGCAAAGTGCACATAATCATCGCTGCTGCAAAAATACAAGTTCTAGATCTTAATAGCTATTCTTCTAACAATTCATGCTCATCTGGATTTCAATGATACATTTTTTATTTAAATTACTTTTATTATCTTTTGTTGGGTTTTGGTCTCTTTGGCACTTTGTAAACCAGGTTTTAAAAAAAAAAAAAAAAAAGTGCAATAAAAAGTTGTACTCATCTGTGTGTAGGCTGATAACAGGATCTAAAATCTCTAAACAAATTGGATTCTAATATTAATCCATTGTTGGTTCATATCATGTGAGAGTCATCCAAGAGGTGAATTACCTGCTTATATTAAGAGAACTTTCACTCGCTGATGCTCCGGGGTCAAGTGTGAGAGGCATATTGTTCCTATTTGCTTACCTGTTACTATATGTTCTGATTTCTAACCAATCAGACATTTTGGAAAAAGAAAATATGGACATACCTTTCAAAACATAAAGATTATCATATTAAATATGTACTATAAAAGACACAGGACACAGATAACAAGAAACATTATACCTAACGTCCCTTTCTCAAATCTCCATGCTTGCAGATTATTCAGTTAATTTCCTCATTAACTACTCGTCTACAGCTACATAGATAACAAATACAGGAAGTGTTGTTGCTCACGGTTCAGTTTTTTGTTGAGATGTGAAATGTAATGTTCAAACTGTAGATTGGACACAGAACTTTGTGTATACAAGTTTAATATTTTGAAAAAGCTTTACTACAGAATTTAAATACAATATTCTGAAAAATTGGCAAAAAAACAAACAGAAAACAAGGCTCTACCATGAGAGTGTCTACATTACAACATGGAAACTGTTTAAACAACAAGTAACACCTGTTACTACCTTGCTCCAGGATTTAGCTGTAGTCTAAAATTCACATTTCAAGTTATCATGGTGTTTGTCGGTGTGAATCGTGGTAGCTCTGCTGCTGCTTCAGGAGATAAACTGTCAACCGCTGTTGGACAAAGAGGAAGTGACTGGACCGGTTCGGCTGCCAGTACGTCCTGTATGTTCACTCCTCTTGACAGATGGCTGATGTTCACTGCGGTGTCATCTTGGCTGCTTCAGCTTTTATAAGTGAGATGAGTTCCAGGTTAATGAGAAACACAAAGCGAAGACCTGCAATCTGAAGAGACAGATAGAGTACGTTAGGTGCTATGTCTCACTCAGTGCCACCGCTCAAATAGATGTAATGGTTGTCAGCCTCCACGCACCTCCACCACCGAGTTGTTGTTGAGTTTCCACTTGTTCCCCGACAAGACCGGTCTGCCATCTATGTAGATGGGTCGTCTGCCCTCATTGGCGATGAAGAAGTCCCCGTTATTCTTCAGCTTAATAATTCCTGTAGACATCAGTATGATTTGATTAAAAAGGTAGCACTTTGTTTACAAAACACATCAAGATGATTGACTGATAAGTGGTGGTTTCGGTTACTTTCAGCAGCATCAGAAGGGGGTAAATTGCTGCCAGTTGAAACAATTACTAAGTTTAAACATCAAGAAAAGGAATACACTGGTATAAAAATCAATTGTTGATTCAAAACTTTTTGAACTCCTTCAGACACAAAGTCCTTGCTGGGCAAAAATAAATGAAACTACAGATAGGGTTCAGTAGAGATGAGCTGTATTTTATGTATCCGTTAGCATTATCTATGAAATATCAAGCAATATAAAGTTACATCCCGACAGCGTACGAGTTTATTCACCTTGTTTTCTTGATATTTTCCAGGCAGGTCCCTCTAGCGACAGATCTACGTCTATCGGTTTGTCCTTGGTCGCCCTGCCCAACGTAATCTTTGTGAACATACAAAAAAAACAAAAAAAAAAAACGACATCTTCACAGTGAGAATTCCTCTCACGGTTTCCTTTTTACAGACATAATACCTCTACATTGCTCCTGTGTAACAACCGTTTGTGAAAGATTTCTTACCTCTCGCGATCTCATGAGGTAGCGTACCATTCTTCCTCGTAATGCTGCCAGTGTCTGGTTGTCAAAATCGGGCATGCTCATCCCTGGTGACACACACACACACACACAAACAATTTAGCTCAAAACAAATATACCTATAAAAGCCATCTGCTTGTGCTTGTTGAATGAAAGTGAACATACCCGTAATACTGTCCACAAGGACCTGCCAACGAGGCAACTCCTGCTCCAATTGTCTGATCTCTTTTTTTTGGTGACGATCGGAAATCATCAGCTCTGAATGTAAAGACGAAGTTAATCAGATGTAAACAAAATGAAGATTATCAAAAGATATAATTTATGCCGTGCAAGATGAATTGTATTCAACTTGTTTCTTCATAATCTAATTTCTTACCGTGTTCTAACACCTCATCTCTACTCTCCCTGTAAAAAACAAATGCAGAAAAATGAATTAGTGTTTATAATTTCGTGGACATACAACACTTAAGTGAGAATATGATGAAACGCTTTCTTATCAGCAACAAAAACATGACATTAATACTGCCTTACTTTAACTTTACATCATCAACCATCTGCTCAGCATCAGAGAAGTTGAGGACTTGGTCACCTTTTGGGAGAGGCTGGACTGTAACACACAATCAAAGCCAACAAGACAATCACAAACAGAACTCACACACACCAGTTTATTTAGGGAAACAGCACCAGGGGGTGTTTGGACTCATTGAATTCATAATTACATGTGCATCTGAGTACAAAAAGGGACTTTCTTTGCAATAAAACAAAATAATGTACTCAATGCTCTGTATAAATGTGTGGCCCCCTCAACGTACCGCTCTGATCATCCAGTAGGTAGTACTGCTTCAGCAGCTGCCAGTGTACCAGCAGGCTCTTGGGGGTGCGAGATGGGTGAAAGACACCGGGGTGTTTGCTCAAAAGCTCCTGGAACACATCCAGTTTGGGCTGACTAGTCTGTTCAATGACAAATAATACAAAATAGCTTGTGAGTTCAGGAGTCGAATATGTACATTCAAACACTATGTTATATGCAGTGAGCTGGATACACAAAAGCTTTTCAAAATACATTTAAATCTTAACCATTAGACTGATTAGATTGTATGTTTATTTTACCACAACAGTGAAATGTTCCTAAAGCACCAGTTTCACTTACTGAACCAATCTTAGCCAGCAGTCCCTCCTCAGCCTGACTGAACAGAGCTTTGCTTTGGATTGCTGCAATGGCCTCCGGGTGAAGCTGACGCATGGCCTGCCATGCCAGCCTAAAAAAAGAGAGAAAACAGAGAGAATTTAATTATGTACCTAATATAAAAACTTTAGAGAGGGGGGGGGGTAAAGCTGCTGCTGGGTAAGTCTCTACTTACTTCGAGATGACAGGATCGTAGAGGAGCGCGTACCACCTCTCTTTAATTTCCCGCAACGTGAAACGACAGCTGAACTTGACCCCCAAATGAACAGAAGTTAGGTCTGTGGTCTAGAGACAAATACAGACACATTAGATCATAAACTAACAAACTAGTCACATGAATTTCTAAACAGTAATAATCCTTTCAGACAATGATTTTAACGTTTATACTACTCACCTGCAACACTGCATTTATAAGTAGAAGGTCATCAGTGGGTTTCCATCTTCCCAAGTCTTTAGTAATATGTAGAGGCTGCTTGCTTTTCTTTACTCTTTTAGTGATGGGTGCAGAGTTAACTACCATTGTGAGAGGCAGTGTGAGAGCCGTTCCCGATTTTGTCACCTGACAAGAGGCAAAAAAATATCCATCAAACCTCTTTTAACTTAATCTTCTTCGCCATGAGTTCCTTTAAGAATGTGCAAGTACCTTTTTTTTCTCGCTAGATGAAGGTTCACTTCCTGAACAGCGGACAGGCTCTATGACAGGAGGGCCTTTGACTCGACTGGAGGACTTCACGAGACTGCTCTCCACCAATTCATCGTCAAACTTCTTCCTCTTTATTGATCTAAGGACATAATTGTGTAAAGAAGAATACAACAATCATCCTTTAAACATCTGCAGATGCGCCACAGAAAAACAAAGCAGCATTAACAACAAATCAAATGCTTTTAAATTCAACAACATACATTGATTATACTAATACATAGCTGGAATAGTCCAGTACAGTATAACTCTCACCTGGATGAACTTCTGCGTTTGGGAACACTAATGCCGAACGCTTGCGTTGCTGTCCTTTTTACATCTTTTACCCCAAGTGACTCTTCGTCCTCGGACCGACTCTGAGCACCAGCACCAGCCATCGCTGCACCAACCACTGGGTCTCCAGCTTGCATCTATCCAGTCACAACATGAAAACACATCAGGAAATAATCCAGACATTTCTCACGACAGAGTATCAGGATTTAACACAAGGGGAGACTAGAAATGCTTTCGATGGCTCACGTTATACACCTTTCAATTGGATCCACAGAGTTGCAGTGTGCATAGACTAAGCTTTAGTTTAACTCTGATTGCATACAGTTATCACAATCCAACGACAGTTTTGTCTCTTTGGAAAGAGCAGCTGGCTGTAAATCTTAATTGTGAGGTGAGCAATTGGTCTGTAGAATACAGGAGTATATGATCTCACTTTGACACGCAGTTTGGGCTCTAATGGGTACTTGGTAAATAAACACAAACAAAATAAACATCTTAGCAACATTGTAAGACAGCATGATATTGGGCAACATCTCTACGTTAGCTCAATTGGAAACATAACGTCAAAGTTATACCCAGACGGACGGATTTACTCCTAAAATGAAACTAATGTTACTTCACCACTCTGTGTGAAACCCATTTTTAAGTAGCTGTGTTTCAGTTGACTGGCTAATCAACTTAGCGATGCCTTTGTTTACATGTTGTGTTAGCCGTGGTACCTCTCCTTCTGCCTTCAATATGTAATATCCAATATGAAATTAAAACCCATCACGAACAAGACGAGCTTGCCCAGACAAAATTACACCACAGTCTGCTTCGTTAACCAAACCAATTTGGTCAAATATAACGGTCATTTATATAGGCTAGCTAGCATTAGCTTAGCTAACACAACGTTCTTACGATAGCTAGCGTTAATGAATTAGCGAGTTAACACAACAACCGTTAGCGACGCTGTCTTGTGACTCACCTTTCCTCGCTATGTTCCTTTGTTGTGGTATCTAATCAGTTAACTGAAGTCTGTGTAGTCTGTTTATGCCTTTTATAAGCACCTCGGTAGCTAGCTACATGGCTAACTGGCTACATGAATTTGCCGTATGCTTGTTAGCATTAACTGCTCTGCTACTCTGTTTTCTTCCTGCGAGGTTTTGTCGCAGCTTTACCGCCACCATGTGGACTGGAGTGTAAATATCGATCAGCTTTATTATTCTATGGCATTGGACATAATGCATTATTTAATACAACACATTCATGCGTGGGGCATTAAAAAACACATGCATGTGCATCAGTAAGACGTATGTTGTTTACAGAATTATTTTGTTTTTATTTAAACAGACCCACTGAAACTGTGTTGTTTTGTTTTTTTCACTTGTTGCTTGAGGGCAGCATGGGGCAATTAGACCACTTTTGTTCGGGTAATATGCTAAAGTAATCGGATGCATGGAAATGTAAATAAATAAATGTAATTTTTTTTTAACCCAGTAGTAGGACAAGTGGGCAGTGACTGCAGGGAACAGTTTGGGGTTCAGTGCCTGCACACCGTACTTTGTCAGTTGGCTAGTTGTATGGTATCTCTGATGCCTCTACAGGTTTATCCAGTAAAAAGTAACAATCAGCACTTCTCTTAACTCTAGTGGTGTTACTCCCACCACCCATCACTCCACACTCAAATGAAGTCAAGTCTTTAGCTTCACAGTCTTCTAATACACACACATACACACTCACACACACACCCACATTAATTCACATGAACATATTTATTTACATGTTGAATATTTTGGAGGAGGCTCTTTAGTTTTAGGTTGAACATCATAGATCAGCACTCCAACAGTAGTGGAGTGATTTGGTCCAAATTATAGACCCACAGCTGTTGCGCCAGAGCTCCCACTACACACTCCACATGGTCATGTCACAAACGAACTTTGTTCCGTGTTGTATTTCTTAGAAATGACTGCCTGCGTGGCTGGTTTCACTGGCATCAAACTACGAACACTCGTCTAAGCGGTTGGACCTAATCTGTTGCAGCTGATGGCATTAGACCTTAAAGCAAATGCTGAATCATGACTGAGGGGATTATTTTTGTTGAGAAGACAAGTGGGCATCACATTGACACAAAAGAAACAAGTGATATTATTGATGTAAACTGGATTATCATTGGTTTGGCCAAATTAAATCAACAAATAGGCAAAAGTCAAACTTGAAACCATTTAATGACACCTACAGAAACAGTTTTAACATGTTAAATTATAATAAATACTGAGTTCAGATACTGAAGCTTATTACATGAACAAAGTGGTGGTACATCACCTATAGTAAGTTAAAAAAAATAAAAATGTAAAGTTGCATTATGCTGCACTGTTGAATTGTGGCACATATCTACATTTGAAAGACAACACAGACAAAGCCAGGGTGCAGAGTGGCCTACGTTTGAGATTTTAAACAGTACACACAGGAATAATAAACAGCTGCCGTTTTACAAAAAAAGAACCCGTCACTAAAAGTTCACCATAAGCACGTTATAAAATACACTTTGATTAATATGTTGAACATCATATCTACACAAAACTCACAGAAGCTTAATAACAGCTGAAGAAACATCGTTTCATCTGCCAGCCTGAGACTCTCCTCATACTCAAATCATTTACAGCACACTGTGTATATCAGACTCATATACAGCAACACTAATAAAATGAAATATTTGCACGTCCAGGACACACAGGAAATGCTGAATATAGTTCATAATCAGATCTAGGAATGGGTTTATTTGAAAATAAATTTAAAATACAAACTTGTTGCAAATTCTATGAGATGCAACATGGTCTGACATTTTTAGCGTGATGTCTGAAGGTTGTCTATAGAATCGTACTGAAAGAGATCACTGGCTTCCTCTTGGCCTCTGTGCAAAAAGTTCTTCGTGGTGATTGTAGTCTAAAAAACCCACAGTATTACATTTGGAGTTGCACCATTCTCAGAGTAAAGCCATATTGATGAGCTGTCACTGTTCATCCCTCATTCATGTGTCCTTCTCCACACATTAGCCTCCAGACACTAGGGTTACAAGTAAGGAGGGCTTTGGCCTTTGGCCTTTGTCGTTTCAAAGGTTGAAGGTCCGCTCTGACTGCGTGCAACAGGCTCGCGGCTCCTGTGATAACTCTGTCTGCTAGCGCTCTCTACTGCGAAGAGACTCACGTTCTCGTTCGTGTAATAGATTAGCACAGGAAAGTGGGTCGTCGTTCAATAAACTGGAGGTTAATGACATTTTCAGGAACCAGAAGCGTCCGTGTCATGGGCTTCACGGAAATCCCTTCAGGGTCCGGCTTCAGATCGAACTCTGTGAGAATCTAGAGTGAACAGAGAAAACTGATTTACTCCAGGGTGACTGAATAAAAAAAAAAAAAAACTAAAACAACTGTTCATCATGTGCCAAGTGTGGGTTCGTGACTCTTAACTGAAATCCCTAGATTAAGTAATCAAATGAATTCATTGGGAACTGGATTAGCACAACGGCTTAAATCCCCTTCTTTGAATTTCATACATTACTCCAAGAAAAAATGCGGCACCATTTTGATTTTCAACAGATAATCAAACATTCCATTACTCCTGAATATATACACCTTTCTTTCCCAATAACAGTTTTCATTTCAGCAAACAGCAAAAAACAAAAAAGAGTCTTCCTGGTCCTATCACTAACTACTTATCTAGACCAAAGTCTTCTCAAGTCCAGCCAACTCACCCTGGTAAGAGCAAGGTAGAGTTCCAGCTCAGCGATGCGACGACCTATGCAGCTGCGTTTCCCCACCCCAAATGGTACAGAGGCATAAGGGTGGTGAGTCCCGTCCTTGTTCAACCATCGATGGGGCTGGAATTCATCCGGGTTTGTAAACACCGCTGGATCCCGCGATGTTGCAAAGTGGCACAGGGTAACCAGAGTCTGGATGGAAAGATTTTACAGTCAGACATGTGTAACATTCTCATTTAGCCCAGTATGAAGGACTTCTTACAGTGCGACCACATGACATGAGACAGATTTCAATCCATCGCAGACTACAAGTGATTCCAAAGTGCACAAAGTCCATCAACACACTCACATTTTTAGGGAGGAGGTAGCCTCCAACCTGGATGTCTCTCTCTGTAATGACTCTTGCATTGGCAGGAATAACGGGGTACAACCTGGAAAACAAAAGACATAAAACTTGCAGATTGAAAACTACATGTCCTAAGGAAACTAATTAGAATCTTTTGACTTATACCTAAGCACTTCTTTGACTGTGGCCTTCAGGAGAGGCATGCGGGCCACATCTTTTGCCTCCGGAATGCGTCGACCCTCCAGCACGCTCAACATCTCGTCCCGGAGCGATGCCTGCACCTCGGGGTGACGGGACAGCTCATACAACGACCAGGTCATGGTGCTGGCGATCTGAAAGGACAGGTAGGGTGCACGATACGTTAATAAAGTCAGATAGAACTGACGTCAGAATTCAGTGAAGAAGGGGACAGAGTGATCGTTCTTACTGTGTCGACTCCAGCAAGAAGCAGCTCTGTGACGTTGCTGTAGACGGTCTTAATGGGCAGACCGGTCCGCGACAGGAAGTAGGTGAGGTAACGGCCCTCCACCTCCTCTCCACGGGCAACCTTCTCTGCTTCGGCCGTCAGACGCTGGTCAATGTGACCTTTCGCTAGAAGCACAGAGATTAGAGGTCATTATGACAGTGAGGGTGCGGTATGTAATGCAGATGCTGAGACACAATGGTAAGACCTGAGCTTTCTCATGTGATCTTTAGTAAGGTGATATCAAGTTATCCTCCTTAATAAAGTACCAAAAAACATGAATTCATTGCACGGTGATTGTAAACAAGATCTGTTTTCGTAATTTGGGGAAAGACACCATGAGAATTAGGTATATTTTAAGCAAAGTTTAAGCAAAGTCTTGAACACAGATGTTCAAGACTTCAGTCCAGATGATCTTGTAGTGCGTGAGGGTTAAGGACTTTAATCTCCTGCTTCCTGATCCAGTTTGCTCCAGAATGATGATTTTAAACATGTTTGATTCAGATTCTGGATGACTAAGAGTGTACTGTAAGAGTGAGTGGGATGATAAGCCAGTGCTGAGTGGAAACCAGCAACAGCCAATAAGAAATGAGAAGGGGCTGAGGGAAAACAATCACAACGTTTGGAAAGATATACAGTAAGTTTGTTTTGGTTTCATGTTGTAGTGAAGTGCTAGCTTGCACGGGATCTGCTGACTGTCCCTGCTCATACATTTATTTATAATGTATTTGATTTTCTGTTTATTTTCATTCTTATACATGTTCAGTTTTTTGGTAAAATAGTGTCATACAATCATCACTATTAGAGATAATATTTGCAAGTGGGTGCACATTTTGCCACCATTTCCCACGCTGACACTGAATGATTAGGAGAAATGACCTACCAAAGTCAAACATGTAGTCCCAGCACTGACAGAAGATGTTCCAGGGTTTTGGAAAGAGCTGGTGCAACCACTTTGGCATGGCCATGGTGAGAAGCGTCATTACAAACATGGTGTTGATCGACTGGATGAAACGCTCGGTCTCTTCTGGGACAACTTCATCCAGGCAACCGATTCTGGATTCAAACAACACTGAGGAAATGCCTGTCAAAGAAGCCAAAAAAAAAGGTAAATGAGGAGGCGAGACAGACTGAAATGTACCATAAGGCTGCTTTTCTGAAAGTAACATTGTATTTTCAACACCAGTGTTGGCCCAGCCTCCTCTCAACACTGCATGTAGAATGGCCCTGATAAGGAAATATTTAACACTAACAATCATTTTGACGATGACAGAGTGGATGTTTGAGAGCTGTGCATGTAACCACACAGTCACTGGACTGAAACTGTGTTTAGTCTGGGAAAATCTGGCAGAGGAAGATGAATGAATAATGTAGCTCCCTCATCATAAACGAATAACTGTTGAGGAGCCTTGAGGCCGGGGAGGAGGGATACCTGTTGCTTATTTTAATAGAATATGGTGCAGTGTTAAAGGTCAAACTACTCAAAAGTAGCCTATGTAGTAAAGTAAATGACCTCAATCTTGACAAACTGCAACATTAAATACTACATACAGTTATGAATTAGTGGCAATATATATATATA